TCCACCCAGAGGTTGGTTGTGCATTATTATACAGTGTGGTGTTGGAGTATACAACAAAAATACTGTACCGGTATATGCTAGACACATATATTGCAGCCTAACAAACCTTGACAAAATGTTTTATTTTACTGAAATGTTTGTTGTTTTTAAAGTGGGTATAATTTGGGAACCATACTACAAATCCGAGACTAATTCAAACCATTTGTAAATTGTTATTTTGAACATTCTATTATAATTCAACCACTTTCAACTATTTTTAATTATTTACAAACATATTCATGACTACCGTAGTAGATATACATCTTGCTACAAGCCTAAATTTTGGTCAGGTCAAAAATCTAAAATCCCCCTTAAAAATACATTACTGACCTATTTTTAATACTAAATGAATCTATTTTAAATTGTGAACTAATACTAGCTTTCCAGTTTTTGGATTGATTACGTTAATATGGTACAGAATTTCAGTACTCTACCAAAATTACTTGATAATGTTGAAATATTTTGTTTACATATCAGACTGAACATATTATTATGAAACAGTGTTTCAGCCTATACAATAGAAGTTCCCTCAAAATGTTCAACTATTTAGTTAAATACAGTGGACTGATCATAAGAATATAGTACAACTCTTCAGTCTGTTTAAGAGGTTTATGTTACATAACACATGCTCAAAATGAATGAATATAATATATGACTTGTTTGTGACTACATTCAAAATTTTCAATTCTAGATACGTTTCTCAATCGGTTAACAAACTTAAAAAGCATGTTTAGTGCTTTAAGTGTATGTAGCTTTAAGCCCATTAAGTTGCATCATTCTCTTAAGTTATGCGGCCTACTTTATTATTTTACTCTGTCAAACGCCAGACTACTTTGCTCTGTATAATGCCAGACGATTTTACTCATCAATGGGACAGCACTGGTGCTCAATGGATTAACTGTTGTAAATATGGCATGAACATTAATTAAAGCATTATTGGTAATTGGACTAGAAAATAAAGCTAAAACAAAGAAATTTTGAGAGATGTACCAAAACGATTTTAGGTTTTGAATGCTTTTCATCACAACGCCTCTTGTATATAAGGATTGTTCTTGATAGTGTTCAACTATATCTCCAATTGTTTTGAATGTAAATAATGACAGCTGGAATGTATTTGTACATGTAAGTAAAGTATATCAACAATTATACAGTAAGTGATGGTTTCTCGATGTTCACTTGCACAGGGTCGACATCCTCGTCACGAGGTTTTAAGATTTCAAATGGCTCGCTCATCGCGATGAAGCAATCCTGTTTGTAGCTGAAATAACATAGCTGAAACAACCCTGGTTCTTCGGGAAGACAATCGAAGAGAACAGCACAACCGTTTTCCCCATACTCGTCACCATCGCCGACCGCCCACTCGTACATTTCATAATCAGTGAAATGCTGCCAGCCCAACCGGTATAACCCAATCCAATCCCAGCTATACGGCTTGTAGTCCTTAACGACGTACACACACAAGCCATCATCGTTGCCATACCAAGGCATACTTTCGATTTCTAACTTCCACACAATTCTAGAATCTTGATTCGTTTCCAAGCTATCGATGCTTGCAGTGCACTCTGCGCTAACTGGATGGTGATCGCTTGTCGTGTGTCGCGGGTGGGATGTATAACTTGTAACGCTGGTGCGACCTTGGGTTGCTTCGTGCCATAATATACGATCACACCATGCTGGCTTTCTCTTGAGGTCACTTGCGTCCCAATCATTTGATCCGAGGCAATATTTGTAGGTCGGTTGGAAACTGATTTCGTGCTCGAAAAAGCCCTTGTAAACCTCTTCAACTGACATACTCTTCAGCAACTGGTCGTGATTCTTTAATGAGACGAGATCACCGCTTGCAACCTTCGTTTTCACATCTTCAATCGAGACCTCATCGATGCGATAATTGAGGTCCCCCAACACGGCGACAAAATCATGCTCCATGACTGTGGCAGCTTTGACATCTGGGAACTTCATATACTTAAGTACACTTTCAAAATTTGAGTTTCTTTGCCTTGTCCCATCAAGATGTGCAGTAAAGTGGCAATTAATAAAACAGAAGGACTGTCCGTGTATAACAAATCTCACGGCCACTGCCCCTTTAGTGCCGAGCCAACCCATAACCGCGGTGCGGACGAAACCGGTCTTGATTTCTCGTAAATACGGCAGATGCCTGGCCTGGACCGCCACTACGATAATCATACCCAGCATACGCAGGCTACGGACTCGAACCAACCCATAATACCCAAGATAATCTTGCAACACTTGTACCCAACGATTTTCTTGTATCATTTCAACAACAAACGAATGTGGGCGAACTTCAACCTCTTGTAATCCAACAGCAACGACATCTGGTAACGGTTTATCATCGTATAGGTGTAGTAGTTCTCTTAAATCTTCCTTTGGAGGCGACGTTCCATGTACATTCCATGTACAGCACGCTATTTTCAAACTAGACATATTTTCTTCGACTTGTCAAACCGTTCACCCAAGCTTCAAATGCCGTCTTTATACTAACTTCTAATTTTATTTCCGACGCGTCAACGCTACGATTTCAAAAGCTGTCAATATTTGAACGCGTTTCACTTTAATTTTTAGGCAGTAGACAAAAGATAAACAGTTTTATCGCAGATGTTCATTATGCACAAATGTAAAATGTGCCAAAAAAAGGTAAAATTAATGTCTCGCTCTAGCGGATGTGTCCTTTTACAATGGTCGGATTATACTCGGAAATAAACGGCAAGCGTTCGTAGCGCGATCTAGAAACCCGAAGATACTGTGGATTCGGGTTCGAGTCCCGCTCTGGAAAAGGAATTTTTCGTTGTTCTCAGAATTCAGATGAAAATGATGAAATTCGTATCTCTGAGGCTTAATCCGTAACAGAATTGAAGCACAGCATATATTATTGAGTTCGAATACCCCTCGAGAGAAGTCAGACAACGAATCAGCAATTCAGTGAAAAAAATCGTTGAACGAAAGCCGGATAGTGATTTTTTCAACTTTCTAAATTTCACCACCAATTGGTATAACCCAGATTAAACTTTAGTACATATAAATTATAGTTCCTATTCTATAGATTCTGAGGTCCATATCATAGTTTTTAGCTTTTAAAGTATTTTTACAAAGCTAGAAAATCACCATCAGGGTGGACTGATACAGGTATCTGACCTCGGTACAGCCCGCCCCAGGCGAATAGCCCATCTAGCTTTGCTATACGTCTTCAGTATAAAGACGAGCACGCATTATGCGCTTAGGACGAACTATGATCGGTTTTTCGTCGCGCATGGCACGCGTCCTGTGCCTGTTTTTATACTGAAGTGAAAACTCGCTTAGGTTACAGGACATCCTTTTTGGCGTTTTGCGGAAAATCGCTACTGCGCGCTCAATATCAATCCGATTTTCATCAAATTTTCACCAAATGTTCGCCAGTGCATGCAAAATATGGTAAAGTTGTAAAATTAACAAACAATAAAATAATGTAAGAATTATTCAGGAAAATCTTAAATCGCGGTACCGTTACGCTTTTGAGTTGTGCTCCTGCTGGTTTTAAGTTATATTTATGAAAATATCATTTTTATACAGCAAAATAGTTATTCTAAAAAATTGTGTTCGGAAATTGTTGTTTATTTCGTCATTCCGCTGATATGGCGATTTCTTTGACGACTGCAATATATTTCTGAATTGTTTGAGTGAATTGGTCTTTATTATTAAAATATCCAAAATTAAAAAAAAGCCGAACACAAATTTTGAAACTGACGTCTTTAGCTATGTCCTGTGAAAATTTCAGAAAAATTGGTTAAAACCCGCAGGAGCACAACTCGTTTGAAAATCAGTAATTATCGTAAAATGTTTCGGGAGAAAATTCAATTTGAATATTACATATTACATATTCAATGTTTTTCTTATTGCAGCGAAATGTATTTTATTAAATAACTCTGCGAGTTTTCAACATTTTTCGTTCAAACTTGGTCAGATAGTAGAACTAGTCTAATGCTTTCATGAAAACCAATAAAAAAATTTTAGGCAAAATTAACACTCAAAGGTGTTCTGTAACCTTAACTAGATGACAGGTTCATCCAATATAGGATTCCCAACAGCAGGTGTTTAATATTATTAATTCTAGGAGGCACAATATCACTCCATAGCCATATGGCCCCAACTACTAAGAAGCCATAGAGAATATAAGTTCGGTTGGATTTAAGAACCTCCGTGTCCTTTCAAAGCACTTGACAATAGCTTAAAATGTATATAAGTATATATCAAGGCCCAAACTGAAAAAATGACTTCGTTTTAGTTTCACTATTTCTTTATTTCAACACAACAGGGAATTAATTTGACCGGTCCGTATTTATTAAGTAATACTAAAATTTTAATAAAATGTCACTACTGATTATTTCCATATGATTTTGAGTGACATGCGTGTATGTATGTATTTGAACATTCATATTAAAAAATTAAGGGGGCGGCCAAAAATTCAGCTGAACTGAGTAGCTTGCGGCAAAGTGCTTTCCCCCCTCCTGATCATACCCTTCTGCCTCCCTCCCCTTTTGGCAGCCTTGCTGAAGACGCATAATCAGATAAACTCAGGAGCCGCGGAAAAAAAAGCATCAGCTATTCAGGTGTAAAAATTTGGAATGAATTACCAGTAGTAGAACTGAAAAGCAATTGCTTGTCATTAAACGCATTTAAAACCTTGCTTCGGGACAGACCTCAGCATAATACTTAAGTGTTATCATATTATGTGATGTACTGTGTAATATGTAATGTGTAATTTGTAACCGATACTAATTGTAATTATTAACCCAAACTTTTTTTGTAAATATGTATTGTGCAACGGCCCCTTGGAAAACAGCTCTTATCTATGCTGAAGGGCTACCGTTGTTTTTTAAAGAAGATTAAATAATAATAATAATAATAATAATAATAACTGGGGGGGGGGGCAATGGGGAGCATGTGCCCCCCACTTTTTTAAAAGTGAAAAAAGTGCCCTTTTTCCTGGGCTAAAGTGCCCCATTTAAAGAACGAAAAAAGTATTTCTTGAATGAATGTCCTTTTTTGCTGGAAAGAAAGTGCCATTTTTGCAGTAGTAAAGACTCTTTAAAGGCCATTTCCGACGTTATAGAGAGTCAGAGACTCCATATTTTCAAAATTTTTCGTTTGGCTCGTGAACGACCTAAAATCGTTTAATAATCGGTCATAATAATCGTTTAATAATCGGTCATACACAAAAGTGCCTCTTTTGGACAATGCCCCTCTACTTTCGAAAAGCTTCCGCGGCCTCTGGTCATGAACTACAAATACTTGCGCAAATTCGTCCAGACGGGTATAGTGCGTCTGGCTAGTGATGAAACAAACACCAATGCATGATACTATATTATCCTCCCATGAACGGGCATGGCTATATATATCGTGAGTTCATCGCACTATGATTATGTAAGGCATTAATATTTCATAAGTACCTGTAGGACGATTATTCAATCTGTCCAGTCACAGCGAATACAATTCCTTTTTTTACAGGTTGTTGCATTACAGCTCGAAACGTTTGCCACAACAAACCAATGAATACCAAAGCTATTGAGTATTACTTCACGATGCCATAAATGAAAAATCCTGTTTAAAATTTGAGAAGATCGAAATTAAACCTTATAGGCTAAGCTTGACTTAGCATTATCCGCGTATCTCTCTTTTCTAGGTAAGTATATACCAGTTTATTTTAAACAAAGATTTGTTCAATTCTTGAATTTTGTAATTCGGTGTCGTGTGAATTTAAGAATTCTGTATATAGTACATAGTATAGTTTTACGAATAAAGTTTTGTCTAAAGTAAAGTATAAAAAGTAATTGTATATACCATTATGGGCAAAGAAATATAAATTCCGGACGGAAAGTTTGTTTAGCACTTTAGGACATATATAGTTATTTTGTTTCTGTAATCTATATATATACTGTTTGTTTCTACGCAGGTGACATGATATAATATATGATATGTAGAGCATGCATCAAGAAATTTAATGTACCTCGAAATCCTGATAATAATTCCATGTAGTTCGAGCCCGAATAGTTTATACATGTATTAGACCTTATAGAAATGCAACTATATATAGGCTCTCTGCATGGCAGTAATCAGTCGGACTCGAACCTGCATGCGATTTCCGCGGTGCAGCGTTGTAACCGACTGAGCTACAGAGGCCAGCTGTCGAGCTCTAACCCGAGGTTCATGTTTGGGGCATCGCGCTCGATATTACCATGGATAATAAAATAACTGTTATTTTATAATCCATGATATTACTAATTGCACTTTTCGTAACTGCAGCGCTCCTCATTGTTATAGGGCTAATATAAATGTATAAATTTTAGATATGTACAAAACCCTTTTAGACTCGAAATTTGCATCTAAAAAACCCTTCTATAGAATTTGTTCTATCGAGTGAGATGGTAAACACCAGGGCTCAAAGTAGAGAAAAAATATGGCCTGCCAGTCTAACTCTAACTGAATTTTTTGGCAGGTGAAAAAATTTTTAGCCTGCCATTTTTATTCACTGAACTGCCAAATTGGCGATATGTCTCATTACCCTGGATTCCAGAGCCTTCGACAGTAAGTCAGTAATAAATTGAAATGTCGCGAAGGCTCTGGTTAAACGGGGCGATTCTTTGATTAAACCGCGCCAATCACAAAACAGAATTCGTGAATCTGTACTAAAACCACAAATTCTGTTTTGTGATTTGCGCGGTTTAATCAAAGAATCGCCCCGTTGAACCAGAGCCTTCGCGACATTTCAATTTATTATTTACTGTCGAAGGCTCTGCAATCCAGGATAATGTCTCATATGAGTCATATTGTAAAAATCAATGTTTTCATCATATGCATTTTTATTGTTTTTAAGGGGAGATTTTTTGTATGTTACGTAACACGCGCTCAAAACTAATGCGTATAATATATCACATGAGGTTATGATAAAATTCAAAAATTTTATTTTTTGACACGTTTCTCAATCGGCAAACAAACGTAAAAAGTATGTTTAGTGCTTTACCTGTAAAATAATGTTAAAATGAAGAGATTTTAGATGATACGCCAAAGAGAAAATGACGTCTGAAGTTCAGTAAGTTTTGCTTATATGACTGTAAATATGGCATCAATTTTAAAGCATCAGTTGATAATTGTATTTTAATTGACAATTTTTAACTATTATTTTATGTTTCTCTACCGGCAGATGCATGTAAAAAGGTAGCTAACTCTATAAACTAGAGAATAAAGTTAAAACAAAGTAATTTTGAGAGGAACGCCAAAAAGATTTTAGGTTTTGAACACTTTTCATTGCAAATACGTGACATTGAAAAAAATTGCATCTTAAACTAGTCTATATTTTACTACATGCAGTAGACTTGGATTTACATGTCAAATATATAAACGTATTTAGTAGAGGTGTGCATCGGATCGGATTGGACGTTTATAATCCGACAATTCAGGCTAATGTTTAAAATCCGATCCGATCCAAAATTGTCTAATCCGAATCCGATCCGAGTTTTTGATAAAGAATTCCAATCCGATCCGATCCGAAGAATTCTTCAATAAAATAAATTTCTCATTCAAGTTGAAATATTTAACCAAATAAATATAAAAGCAAGAAATACACGCGGGGGTGAAAAATTTTTCCGGACAAACATAACCATAGTCTAAAAATTTTTTTTGACTAACATAAGCATAATCAAAATTCTCCACCAACATAAGCAACGCTTCCAATTTCTCCACCACAAACATAACAAAATCTTTAAAACTGTTAAAATTGCAAACCATTTCATCAAATGGTTTTGGTTGTGAAGGCTTAATATTTGAAACTAGTCAACCTAAAATATTAATAATTACCACAAGTAATTTTGGCAACCCCCCTTTCATGCTGAAAACACTTTAAAGGCCCCCCCTTCTAACCATAAAATGTTTTGGCAACCCCCCTAATTTTCCTCCAGCCCCCCTGGTTCCTAGTTATACTTGTCAAGAAAATTTACTTCAACTTCTATGATACACGAACACAGCGAGGCGCTATAATCATCGACTTTTTGTTCCAAGACCCTCACCTAAATCCTTAAAGAGAAGCTTTACTTATGGAGGGGCTACCCTATATGGTACGACATACCCGTTCAACTTGCTGGAGGTCAACCTCTTGCTGAGTTTAGTTTTAAATCTAAAATTTCTTAATAATTGTATTATATTAGTTTCTTTGCATATGCCAATATGGAGTCTGTAACTCTTGGTAAATATTTTGATATTTATTTATTGGAAATTAGTTTACTAGCCGATATAGGTACACGTCTCCATTGAATAGCACATATTTTATCTCGTGTTTTAAATGAAGATTCAATCAATCAAACCATTTCCGAATTACGCTCTGCACTATACAGTTAGTGTTCAGTCTCAACAATGACACCAAGTCAAATAACACTATGACTATGTCTATGAATGGAGGTAAACTGAGTTTTACAAGGAAAATTATTTTTATTTTTTTTCATGCATATTCATAGTTTAAACACAAACCACTACAATACAAATTATACAATACAGCAGTGCATTTTTTAAGGATTCTTCAGTGGTGGGGCAAAACTGCCAAAGGGCCCATTCTCTCCATGCCCTCCCCCTAGGATAGTGCATACACGAGTTAGCTAGGGGGTCTGGGGGCATGCCCCCCAGGAAATTTTTAAAATTCGGGTCTCTGAAATAGCATTTGCTGCATTCTGAGAACATATTTTTAAAAAAATCTCCGTTTCTCAAAACAAAGTTTTAATGGTGAAATTTGTAATAAATTGCATGCTAAACATTCAAAGACAACATAAGTTTAAGTATATATAATCACCAACAAATTTTGTTTTTTAAAACATCTTCTCAATGTTAAACTCATTTACTCAATACAGGTCTTATATAGGGCCCTGGTTTGGAGCAATAGGCCATTTCTTTTCTTCAGTGGTGGGGCAGGGGAATGGGCCCAGTGGGGCAAATGCCCCACCAGTCCATGGTATTAAAAAATGCCTTGACAATACTATATATTATTATTCATAGGAAGACAGGGTGTTAGCCAGAAGATTTAAATATTCAGCAATTTAATGAAATTGGGAATTTCAGTTAGCCTGCGACATTTAGACCTGTTTCAAACGTCGCGCTTCTCATGTGCCGAACGCATTAGAAACGGTAGATAATGAGGCATTTCAGCTGATTATCTATTGTTTTTAATGCGCTCGGCGCATGAGAAGTTCGACGTTTGAAACAGGCCTTATCTGGCTTAAGGAATATCGTGTTTATTATTTCTTATTGTTGTGTACCGTGAATATTTTATTTTCAGAGATGGCGCAACGCGTCGGAAATCAGTGCAGTATTGTACTGTTTCTACTAATGTCTGTCACTGCTGTTCACGGCACAAGATATATTATGACCGAAACATGCGAGGATCAATATGGTGCTGATCTAAATGGTAAACTTTAGTATATTGCTCATTACCAGCCAGCTATGCCCAGCAGTTCCTGACTGAATAACTCTCATGCCTAGTCACCATTTCACATGTGACGTCATACTTACCAAATGCTAGAATTATCTTGGCCGGCATAACTGGTTGAGAATACCTTTCTCCCATACAAAATTCGTATTCCCCTTATGATAAATTCCATGTTGAATCATGTTTCCCCAATTCAATGTTGAGCTTGTGTCATGGTAATATACCAAAAGTTGTTTTGGCGCTGTTTACAACATTAAACTGGTGGGGAGGGGGTGATGAATCTTGTTTTGTCGATGTGCATTAGCTTTGCAATATTGGCTGGAATGGTCTCAAGGGTGTTGTCCAAGATCGTAGCTGACAATTGACCAAAACTGCCAGAGCTAGCTGAGTAAATGGCCTAGGTCTAGGCTGCCTAGTTACCACTGTTCCGATAATGTAAGGAAGAATATAGGGCAAAGGTGACCCCTCACACAATTACACTGGACAATTAATTGATGAATCTTACTGGACCACAGGGAGAACTGATAGAGCTATCTAGTATAAATAAAGTTAGTTTGGTTTAGGTTTCTTTCTGTAGTAACACTGGACCAATAAAGGGCGGTATCTAGTATAAATAAAGTTAGTTTGGTTTAGGTTTCTTTCTGTAGTAACACTGGACCAATAAAGGGCGGTACTTGCTGGACTTCTAAAGTGAACAGTTCATAGAATGTTTGATTAACGATATATGGAAAACAAACAGTTCATAACTGATAGAGCTATAGCTGTGCAGTGTAGCGCATCAATTGATAACAGTTGTTGTAATGAAAGATTTCACCTTACTGAAATGCAGTTTTCAATGTATAAATAAAGTTAGTTTAGTTAAGGTTTTTTTCTGTGTAAACTTGACCGATAAGTGATACCGCTTACTGGACCTCTGTGGGGGGGGGGATGCAGAATGGAACTGATAGAGTTGTCGTGTACTGATAAAGTTAGCTTAGTGTAGGTTTCTTCCAGTAGTAACAGTGGACTAATAATGCTCTTACTGTATGTCTGGGGAAAACAGTTTAGAGCTGGTAGAGCAATCCAGCACAGATTACAGTCTCATCAGAGTATAAAAATATTTTCGTACTAATTGTAACTATTCTGATCATCTTAGAGAATTTTGTACTCAACAAGCAAGCTACTCAAAGCAGCACCTCAAACAACGGTGCCGCTGGTCGCCTAGTGGATGGCAATCGTAACCCTTATTTTGGAAACGACAGCTGCTCCGAGACTGCTGTCGGTAGCTCGTCATGGGAGGTCAACCTGGGAACAACAATCTACGTCACTTCGGTAACCATAACAACACGTGCTGACGATTACTGGCGGGAGGTGAACAAATTTTCCATCACCGTTTTGAATGGTGGTGAAAATTCGTTGTGTGCCTCGGGTATGTTCCAGCATGATGGAGGGACGACTACCTACGTTTGTGAGAAAGTTGGAAAAGGCACTCTTGTACGAATCGCGGTCAGTGGAAATGGACAACTTTCACTTTGCGAGGTGGAGGTACATGGACATCCAATGGACTTTTACGAAAATAAAGGTAAAAGGCCGACTTTCGATATCCCGAAATGTTGTCACTATGTTAGGGGTACGGTCAGATTGGGATTAGGGTAAGGGTTTGGAAATAGGATTGGGAGTTGGGGTTTGCATGGGTTTCGGTTAGGTCTTGGTTAAGGAATAGGGTTACAATTTGAGTTGGGATTAGGGTAAGGGTAATGGTAGGATTTAAGTAATTTGAATTAGGGTTGGGATTTGGATGAAGACTTCGTTAAGGAATAAGGTTACAATCTGGGTTGGGATTACGGTAAAGTTAGGATTTAAGTAATTTGGATTAGAGTTGGGACTTGAGTTAAGACTTGGTTAAGGAATAGGGTTACAAATTGGGTTGGGATTAGGGTAAGGGTAAGGGTAAAGGTAGGATTTAATTTTGAATTAGGGTTGGGATTTGGGTTGAGATTTGCTGGGCAAGGGTCGGGAATATAAGAAATTTTCTAAAGAACAAGGGCCACAATTTTGATCACTTTCGTGTATCTGTCCCAACATATTTGAAAATGATTGTAGACTGAGTTCCAAAGTATCATCCAGTCGAACCGACTTGACCTCGTAGCTCAGTTGCCTTAGAGCGCTCAGTTGATGTAGCATTCGGGGCTGGCAAATGAAAGACAAAGGTCGCGGGTTTGATTCCCAACATGGCGAAGCAAAATGTTTAGCTTGCCCTGTGCACTCAACCTCGTTGCGGTACACTCAGAGAGTATCATCTTGCTGTGTGTATACATTACTGTTATAAATAATGTTTAAAACAAAACTATTAAATTGAAAATTTGAAAATTACAATTTAATTTGTTAGTAATAGGATATCTGCGAATGGTTTTTTAAAACTTAAAAGCAGAGGAATACATTGGTAATTTTTGTTTCCTTCGACCAAATGTGTACCACGCTACTAATATGCATTTCAAATCATGCATTTCTTGTTTGTTTAAAGTATAAATGCCTATAAATGCCATATAATAAACTTTTTATTAACCTCGCTTGCTCGGTCTTTACAGAGAAATATCGGACCTCGGTCGTTTTGTACAAACCTCGCTCTACGGGCAGCTCTGAACACTAAAAAGACCTCGGTCCGATATTTCTCTGTAAAGACCTTGCGCTCGGTTAATATAAGAAGTTAAAGTGGCACTCTCGTCTAAATTTTTATTTTCTTAAACGAAAATGCTCTTAAAACTGTATAGTAACTTGTTTTAAAGATTTTTGTTCCCATGCTTAGTTCTTGAGATATTTCATTTTGTTTGTAACCATGTGACGTCATCTACTCAATTACATATATAATGAGATATCAGTAATTTTTGTGTATCTTTGCCATTTTTATCAAAATATTTCCAAATATGCGGCCCGTTTGTTAATTTAACCTATATCATTAAATATACTGTTTTTAAACAAATCCATCAAAAATTAGCAAAGATACACAACAATTAATGATATCTCATTATATATGTAATTGAGTAAATGACGTCACATGGTTACAAAAAAAATGAAATATCTCAAGAACTAAGCATGGAAACAAATATCTTCAAAACAAGTTACCATACAGTTTTAAGAGCATTTTTGTTTAAGAGAATAAAAATTTTGACGAGAGTGCCACTTTAATAATTATTGAAGTACTATTTAAAAAAACGAGCAGGAGTGTTTTATTAGGTTTAAAGCCACGAGCGCGCAGCGCGAGTGGCTTTAGACCTAATAAAACACGACCTGCGAGTTTTTTAAATGGCTTCAAAAACGTTTGCATAATAAGTCAAATCTTTATATAAAAATCTTTATATAAAAATCTTTATATAGTTTGCATAACAATGGTCTTTTGTTAAAGTGTTCTTTAGCTGGTATAAAGACGTATGCACGTGACTAATTTCTTACTCGAGATTGGATAATTGCTTCATGAATTATTAATGAGTTTTTGAAATGTTTTTAGTCAACTACGCATTGTCACAACCGGCGAAAATGTCATCACCTCCATATCTTGTACATACTGCCTCTAACGCGGTCGATGGTGTACGACATGTAAATTTGGATACTGGGTCTTGTTTTCACACCACCAAAGGCCGAGGAGATTGGTGGTTTGTTGACCTCGGCGTCCTTGTTAATGTTTACGCACTTGCGATTACAAACAGAGGTATTCAGAGATTCATTTTGTATTTACAGTGAACCCCTATCTTAAGTAACACGGCAGGCTCATGCATTAATATTTTTAGTGCACGCGAGCAAAATTCATAACTTCAAAATGTTGCTGTGTTAAAAAGTCAGGATTTCAAAATTCAAAATGTGCCTGCGAGCTTCAATGACGCCTGGGCACCTACTTCTCCAGTTAATTAAGTAGATACGTTTTATTAGTGTTTTTCTTCCA